GTATAGCTTATAAAATTGGACTGCGACTTGACTGGAATGGGGTAAGAAATTATTTCTAGTAATTTAGTTAAATAATATATATTACAATTGCTTAGAACATCTTCATTAAGGTCCAAATTTAATTACTAAAGACCTCTCTCTTTTGATAGGTGACAAATTAGGTGCATTTAAAGGTAAATGGATAACTGGGTCCTTAGACTATAAAAATAAAGTACAATGAACTGGTAAAGTTTGGACTAGATTTCGCCTGATATCATTAAGACTTCACAATAGCTTAAACTTTGTTGAGACCAATTAATTACGAGTTCATATTAATATAGGATTGTGTTTGGTTCAACGTCCGATATCTTCTGTTTAAACAACTCAAGAAACCATTACGGAAAACACATTTTAGCAACCGAGAAGAGATAATAAATGAAAGTCGAAGACGTTTTGTTACAGAAAATCCAACCTGTAGTGGATCCCTACGATTTCTGGCTTAAGTAATTTAGAGAAGTCCTTCGGGTTAATAAATGAAAATTACGGACGATTTATTTCAAAGAATTGAACCTACAATTATTTCCGGGTTAAGTGATACAAGGAAGTCCTCCAGGCAACGCGCTTCAGCAGTCGAGAAGATATAATTAAAAATTGAGGGCAGCTAATGACTACTCAAAAATTGCATTTTTACGTCAGTTATGATCGTAGTGATTAATTTACTTGATAATATTGTATTAAATAGAGAGGTTTCGAAAAGTAGTGAACTACAACAACAAAAATTCTTTTTATATTATTTAAATTAATTGATCCTATTAAATTAGTACCTAGCAAAAAAATGTACGTCAAACATTATTCGCCAAACAGTGGTATAAATCACCATTGCCCTAAAGTAACAACACAAATAGGTGCCCTGTTTAAGAATATATGATGGCGTTTTCCTAGTTTGTTATTAATTTTTCAGGAATCTAGAAGTGTTGCTTACAGCTTCATCATTCTTTACATTTAAAAAAGGCAATTCAATAAGTTTTGAAAATGAATTAAATCATTAAATACAGATCGCGTTCTTGCAATTTTCCAATAATAATTTACTTCGCCTCGAAATGTAGTTCAAATGGGAGCTAATTATACGTAATCTGTGAGACGTGTCACCATTTAAATTCTAAAGGAATACAGTAATACGATTACGGATTTTGGCAATTCATTTGTATGAATATTAAATCTTAATAAAATCATTTTCTCATCTGTAATATAATAACATTCATGGTAGGATTGAGTTGATATTTTTATATTTTAATTCATGTTGAAGAGAATTTATCTGTATATGTTTAACAAGTTTTTATTGTCACTCACTTTGGATGTGAACCCAATACTTCACACAATTTTACTTTGGACACTTTTAACTCCCACGGAGGGAGTGAGGACTTTGCTTAACTTGTACGATTTTGTTGTAAAACAATTGCAATGCAAGAATTCTACAGTCAATGTCAATGTCGACCATAAAATTTTATTTTTATTGTTATATTTCATTATTTTGTTTTAATGGAAGATCTACTACATATGTAGCCCCTCAGGTCTGTACATAAATATGTCATATTCCATATTCATATTACAATTTGCTAGCCGTAATGTATACTTTAATGAATTTCATATCTGCATACGTGTGGGTATGCGAGTGCGTGTGTGTGAAGCAGGAAGACTGCAAGTGTAGACTTAAGGAGCTGGTATTGCTCTGCCAGACAGTTACAGCCTAGACAACTTCAGTTTAGCATGTTTAACAAGAAATTCATTATGAGAGCCAGAGGCTGTAATTATGCTTTTGAAATACTCGAGCGTTTACACTGTCGTACAAAACACTGTGAGTGTGCTTGGCACTTTTCCTACCTACTATGGAGTGCAAAGATACATGTATTCCATGCTTGAGAAAAGCAGCCGGCTTGTGGTAGCATAGATGCTATATTATTGCTCTATTAAAATTGAGTTTGAAAAGTAAAAGTAACAAACACTTCTCAGACTACTTATGCGTTCCTAGTTTCAGGAAATATTTTTCATAAATTATTATTTCAGTTCCATATTTTAGTTCAAGGGTTTTAGAGTTGAGATAAAAAATAACATTCTAGAATGTAATTATATTTAAAAATTAATTTTTAAAAATAGTTGTTAAGTAGATACAAGTTATGTGTTTAATATGCTGTTGAAAGTAAACTTAAAATAACTTGAATTAAATGAGACTGTGATTAAATTTTTCTTAGTTTTGAACATTCATTAAGATAATAACTTTAGTAAGATTAGGTTGGTCTGGTGGCTTATACCCAAAGCCCATTTAAGCTTAAATAATAATCCATTGTAGTGTTATAAAATTAGCGTTTGTACATGCGCATACTACAGGTCAACGTACGAGCAACGTAAACCATCCTGATAATCCTTATAAACTTCCATCCTTATAAACTTAGTTAAGTCCTTAATATTGCAGGATGACTGTTTGGTTAGATCACTGAGTAAGGGGCTAAGAAGATTTAAAATCTCCGCCTTGCTAAACATGGACACTGACACATAAGGTGGAGCATAGTTTACTCTTCATCCGCAGAACTGTAGCGCTGAGTAGGTTACGCTTAAATTGAAGCAGCTGACAGATGCGTTTTTTGTTCAGTTTTAACTAAACTGGTCAGATCTGATAGCCCGATTTGTCTGCCCAATATTACTTGGCAATGCTCAGATAATTTTGTGTAATTGCCAGTTTAATTGTTGCAAGTGGGATGCCACTCTATGAAAAGTGAATGTTTGGTAGCATAGTGCTTGTCTTGGCAAGCTCGTTTGTCTTACAGTTGCCGGAGATTTTTCTGTATCCAGGAACCCATGTGGATCAGAATTTTCTATGGATTAATTTTTTGTCCTTAGATTACTTTGCAAAAACATATGATAGTGTTTTTCACAGTCGTCATTTGAAGTAAATATTTGTCTCTAATATAGAAAGTCAGAGATTGGACAAATGTTATTACAGCAATAATTGGTTTATAGTAAGTGAAAAGAATCAACGGCCTTTTTAAACCATCTCTTAGGAATAGTTTAAGCAGACCACAGCCATCAGATTTTTTAAGACAACTGGTACACCCAAAAACCGTTAATTATTTCCGATTTACAGAAGATAGGAACTCATGAGGCGTATACTTTATGGAATCGATCTTAAAATTATCGACAATTTTTTGTTTTTAGTTAACTGTCAGCATTCACAACAAAAGAAACTTTTTTATAGAAAATGTTTATGCAAATTAAAGCCGAGATATTCCTTTGAAATATTCTAGGTGTCAGCATCTCCTGCAACTTCACTTTACGATTTGCTAAAACGACTTTCAGAAATTTTTTGATACTTTGCATATTTAATATATTTGTTATATAGAAAATATAAAATATAATTTTAAATAAAAATCAAATAATTAAAAACTTAACTATTCTTTTACGAAATATTAACACTCAAGTTCACAAGTTTATAGAAAATATAGTTGATATAGTTTTGAAGTAAATTATCAATATTAATTAAAGAGAAAAGTTTGTTGATAAAGATCATTAAATTCAGCAGCTTTAATACTAAGTCACTAATAGTGAAATAGACATGACTATAGATAGGGTCTATCTATAGTCACTATATATAGTCACTTTAATTGAAGACTACTATAAAGCATTCTTTATTATTAAATGGTTAACTACCCTGCGCAAACCGACAGGCTGCCCTACTTAGCACTATCTAATCTCAGTGTAATTACTAACCGCTCGGGGCGGTATGCAGATCTTAAATTAGTCATTGAATAATCACGAAGCTTATGAGGAATACACAAATTACTCAGTGAGATGGGTGGGTCTCTGCAGAAACCTCCTAGCTATTAAAGAGTAAAAGTGCCCAAATGCACTAACTCGGAAAAGGCTCAACATAATAATAATAAGGAGTAGCTTTGAAAAAAACAAGAATAGGCGAACCCAAAAGTTAACTTTCAATTCGTTGAACTTGTGTTTCCAAAAATAAAGCTGTAGTTTATAAGCTCGTTCTAATTTAAAGCACGGCAAGTGCTTTGGTTGGTGTCACTAATTGAATAAAAAATAAGTGACAATAAAACCTGGAACTTGAGCATTGAAAGTTTGTGCAGACTTGGCTTCTTGTGGATAAACACGATTAGTCATCGTTTCTAATTTGACAGGCACGAGTTCTAAGCCTGGCACTTGCAGTCCAAACAAAATTATATACGGACTATAAACTAATTAAATAAAAATTCGATTATTCCAAAGACCACTGATGAAGAGTACTTTGCAATACTCGAAACAGCGTTGTATGGTCAGCCAAACTTTAATAAAATTAAAATAAATTTTTGTGTTTGTCCTTTATTTCTTTCTTTGCTATTCAAAACCCCTCTAATAATAACAATAATATTAATTATTTTCTGAACTATGTGATATATAAATGTTAACTACTGAATTTATAAATTTGCTCTACTTTCTGTTAGTTCAACATTTTGATAACATAACACTTTAAACGCACTTCTGTTAAGAGAAATGTTAAATTTTTTGTTCCTGCGCAATTGCATCAAAACAGAGCACAGATGTCAATCATACAAAATAAAAAATGCCGGTAGCAAAGAAACGTGTTCCCACTGTTTTTTTTTTTTGTTTTTTGTTGTGCACAACCAACAGAAAATAATATTGGCATTTTTAGTACAACTCATGGGAGCACCTCAAAAGCCAAGTACATTTCAAAAATTACTGGTTCTCGTGCAACTCGTTCCTTCGTGTGTGTGCATTAAGCAAATTTCTGCGTTCGTGGATCCGCTTGCGAATGGTCACCGAAGATGTGCTTTCTGTTTGAATGTTTTTTATTTTTATTTTGATTTTCGTATGAAACCGGAATATCTGCTGCTCCCCATGCAGAATGTTGCATATGTTGTTGTTTTTCGGCGTTGTTGTTGCTGTTGTTTAAGGTTCTTGGCACTTGGCAAATGTTCCAATGCTAAAATAACAAACAGTTTGTGCGGCAATTGCGAAATGAACGGTTCGTTTGAGCGGAGTGCGAATTTTCATAATTAACTTTGAATGGAAATGCATACGAGTAAATCTTAAAGTGAAGTGACTCACAAAGCTAAAAACAAATAAATAGAAACAAACATAAATGGAAGTTTTTAATAAGAAGTTGATGTTTTTAAATGAAATAATAGAAAATTACTTTGTTGGCGAATTGCTAAACTAAACAAAACTTAACAAAACAAAAAGGCATAAAAACTCAAATGTTTATATTTGCTGTGTGTATTTATCGCGTCTTCTAGCAAGCAAGACTCTTCTTAATATAAACAAAGAATAAACAAAGAATAGCAGTTGCAACAAAAAAGGTAAAGAAAAATATGTTTCTTATTATTTTTAAAAAATTTTTTTTTATAAACAATAATGCAACCTTATGATTGTATTGAAATATGTTTATGTTTTAAATCTGAACAATTTAATAACTGCAAAAGTAATGTTGTTGGAATAAATAAAAATGAAATTTATTATTCTTCACTTAACCATAACAGCAATACCCAGTAGGAAATTGTGAAGTTAATGCCAACTAATTTCTTTCTGAGGCCGTCTGCGAGTTCGAATAAATTGATGAAATTTATGAATTCAGTAGTTAACATTTATATCGTATAGTTCAAAATATAATGAAAGACATTATATATCCGCAATATCATTATAGCATGGTATGACAGCGAAAGTTGGTATTTACCACAATTTTGAGTACGGTAAATTAGACAAAAATTATGTAAAGTAGATCTTATCATTGTGGAAATTTTATAAGATGTTTAATAAATAAATATATTAAAAAAATTTCAACCAAAAATAATAAATAAGTGCAATAAATAAATAAATAAATATTTACAAAAATTTCCTAATGCAAAAAATCCCTAGGAAATTTCAATTTACTTTACCTCAATTTATACGAAATCGTTTAATGCTAAATTAGTGCATATTGAATAATAAAAATACGATTTAATGAAGCCAATTTTCAATTCTCTATATTTTCACTTAAAAACTTTTAAATATTTTTTTTTTATATATTTACAGCAAGTTAATAAATTTACTGTATATTGTTTTTCTTAATTAGTGTTTTTGACCTTCTTCAACAATAATTATTGTTATTCTTTTTCCCCTATTCTTCCATTAATTCTTGCTGCTATTACACGATATCCATAATGTTAAAATACGTTTTAATTTAAAACTTTTTTTAAAACTGCTTTAGTGGTCAAAATTATATTTTTTTTAAATGCTGATGTATTAAATATGTTTTTTTATAGCTAATTAATAAAAAATTATTTTTTCTTAAACCGTTTATTAATGAAAAATTTATTAATGAATATTAATGCAGCAATAGTAATCAATTTTATTCATAAATTTTATTTTAGAAATTAAAATTATGTTTTTTTATTGCTTACAAAATAATAATTACAACAAAATTTATAAAATTTGTTGATTTAAAATCATTAATTGTTATTTAAGCAATAAAACTATTTCTGTAATAAGTAGTAATAATTCGAATATCCTAAAACGCGATCTTTCAAAAAGAACATGATATATTAATAACGTAGGTTAGTTTAAAATTAGATTTTCATGACTAAATCATGATTTTCATGAGATTTTACTAGGTGCTACTTGTACTATACAGTTAATTCTGACGCCACTAAAACCAACTAACTTATTAATCAATCAAATATATAGGAGTAGTTTTAACTATTCAGTTAATCTAAGAGTACATTATAAATTATAATTGATTGCAATATTTATATATATTGTAATCAATATGAACTCGATGGATGTCGGTTTTTTTTTTGTTTTTACCTTAAACCATGCATTTTGTTTCCAAATGATTCCACTTTATTGAACAAGTAATATCAACATCTTTCACAAATTTTAGCATGTTCTAACTATCGGCTTGATATAGGTATTTAACATTGGAAGCTCCAGATTGCGGCAAAAAAACAACAAGTCTCTTGCTAAAGTCTCTACTATTAGCAACACTGCTGCAATGATTAGACTTTTCAAAACTAGTCTGTTACAACAAAAGATTTGTGTTATTGTTTTACGTGCAAACTAGAAACTCTTGCAAGATAGTTTTTATTTCCTGGAGCTACTCAACGATTTTCATGCCATGTTAAGTCCCTTAATACTTTGTTAAATACTTTTTATATACTTTGTTTTTAAATACATAATTCGTTTTAACAGCCAAGTTCATCAATTGTGATGCGGTTTTACTGATTATCATTTCAGTTAATTTTATCTATAACAAAATAACATTGATCAGACGTAATTTCAAGCTGGTACCGTAATCGAGTATTCAGTATTTTGATAAGTTGAGTCATCAGTTAACGTAGTATGAATTTTCACAGTTAACGTACATCAGTGAATATTTATTAGAGCTTGATATTTCAAGAGATAGACCGTCTCTAAACATGGACCAATTCACACTAGTGGTAGTTTCACGTTTGAAAATCTTTTCAGTGGCATCTATACTATAATGTAACTTCAAGCTTGAAATTTATTTGGTTTTTTGTAATGTTAAGCTACTGCAAGTGTGAATTTTCTCAATAACTTTTAAAAAGTTTTAAATACTTCCTACTTTTATATTTAGAGTATATAGTCCATGTATCTCTTGACCAGGTTGCTGAAGATATACGAGCCCAATTCTTATTTACCTGTCACAAAAAATGATCGTATATGCACATTCGCCTGTGGGTGACAGTAGCAAGTTGTTGAGGGAAAGTCTACATAGAAAAGACGCCAAGTCTCACTAGCTCATTCTTAACTATATTAGAACATCCAGAAATTCAGATTAGGGTTACATTGAAGCTACTACCTAGCTACGTTTATAAATCGTCTACAGTCATGAACTACTTTTGTCGAAATGCAGACTGGTTTTTTAATACTTAAAATATTCTTAATTTAAATTTTCTTTAATAAATTAATAGTGCATAAAAAACGTCACTTAAATTTAACTGCTAGATTGTTGGAAAATAATTGAGGACTAATATTTAATGTCAAAGCAAACATAGGATCCGCCTATTCAAAATTTTAAATCCCACTTCATTTTCATGTTTCATTTTTGGTGCATCTTCTTGAAAAAATGCAACCAAAAGAACTGCATTAAGTGGTTTGTAAGTTTTTCGTCTTCTGTTGTGAACATTTCTAGATGGTCTTTTAAAAAAACAAAAAAAAAAAAAGAATTAAAGAAAAAAAAAAAGAACTTACTGCATCCAGCAGATGCATACCGACGCAAATTATGCTCCACTTCAATTTGTAAGAATACAGGAAAATGCTAAAAGAGATGTACGACTCGAACGGCAAAAGCCAGAAATATTTCGCAGAAAGAAAAAAAAAAACGCCAGTAGAATATGCGTCGGACATTACAACAAAAAAAAAGAACCGAAAAAAAGAAGCGATAAAAAAGAAGCATAAAAAAAAAAAAAGCGAAAAAAGAAACGAAAAAAAAGAAGCGAAAAAAAATCTGAAGCGAAAAAATGATTGCTGTAAACTGCAAAAAAAAGGGGAGAGAAAAAAAATTAGTCTTAGTCAACCGAAATGGACATAATTTTTTATGCCACAATCTTTTACAGTTGTTTTGCATAGCAGTCCATAGTAGTGCATATTTTAGTAGAAGTCGGAAAATAGGAGAGAAAAAATATAAAAAAATAAAAAGTGGTCGCAGCAACCGCCTTTGTAGCTCTGCACTCAAAGTGCACATTCTTCGAAGCATGTGAGGACTGAGCCTCCACTCAGGAATAGTAAACGAAATAGAAATAAAACTGCAGAAGGCAAAGAAGTAAAAACTTTATTAAAAACCAGCTAAGGCACATTATCAGTGCTGCTGCTCCCAAACGTTTTCTTCGCTAGTGCAAGTAGGCAGAAAAGCAAAAGTAGATTTTTCACACTTGCCGAAGAAACTAGTACTCAGTCAATACTTAAAGCTTTTAGCACTTTCGTAATATCCAGTTTTTTCTTAATCAATTCATTCTTTTTCCACGTTTGTGAAAAGTCTACTTTTATTTACAGAGTTGCACTTTAATCGTAGTACAGTCAATCTCTTCAGTGGAAGGAGATTAGTAACTTCTGACCTTTGGTTATGTATATTGGCTTTATTTTTTTTATCTTTATGTAGAAAAATTAATAAAGGTAACTTTTATTTACTTCTGAATTAATACAATAGCGTAACATTAAATAATTTAACATTCAATAACTTCTAATTCACTTTCAATGAATGGCGAAGCATTTACCCGAAAATATTTGATTCCTTATTAGGTGAATTAAGGGGGAAAAGTTATGTCAAATTACAACACATAACCTACTTCAATTAAAGTAATTGCAGTAAATTACCTACACTTTTTTATGCTCTCCATTATTAACAAAAAAAAAAAAAAAACAAAAATAAATAAATAAATAGCTAAAATGTTCTTATTTCATTTATATTTCGTTTTCGAAAATAAGTGCTAGAGACGAAAATGTATAAATAAATACAAAATAAATGAAGTGATTTGGTAATTATTTTCAAATTATCTGACAAATGTACACAACGTAACTGAAATTGATTTATAAAAAACCTATGCCTGGTATTAGTTATTATGGGCATCATTGATAGAGCATAGCAGTGAGGACTTCTTTTGATATTTACATAGTTATATTTCCATTGTATATTGAGGTCATCTGGTAATTTTCATTTTAAGTATTAGAACACATAATTGTGATTGACATACTGAATATAACAGCAAAAAAGTACTCAACAGTTCTTACTAAAGCAATTAAATTAGTCTTCGAAATAGTTTTATATTCCAACAAAAAAAAATACACTAAAACAAATTTTTTAAAAGCTTAACTGAACTGACATTAATTAATTTATTAACTTTTTAAAATTTGAAAATAGTTAATCATTATGTTTCAAAAGGCTTCAATAGACGTTAAATTAACTTCTAAATGAACTTTAGATTTACTAACATTCATATTTGCGCATACTTGCATATATATACGCCCATATAAATTCAGCGCCACTACATTTATAATGTAATTTCCACTAATAAAAAAGTTTTTAAAGAGGTTTTTCGAAAAGTAGAGAACTACAACAACAAAAATTCAGAAGAATTCGAAGAACAAAGAAAAGACAAGGACACAAATTTATTTAAACTATTGAAATTTGGCTGACCATACAATGCTGGTTCGAGTATTGTCAAGTACTCATCATCAGTGGTCTTAGGAAATAATCGAATTTAATTAGTTTATATTCCGTATATTCATTTTATATTATTTAAATTAATTGTCGCATCATTATCAGTCGGCTTAGCAAATAATCGAATTTAATTAGTTTATAGTC